ACCAAGAGTGAGTGGAGAATTAAAGAAAAATATGAAGTTCGAAACATCCATGTGTTTTACCCTCATAGGCTACATTAGAAAAAAATTATAATTCTTAAACAATACCAGAAAAAAAAAAAAAAACTAGACAATTTATTGTAGTGGCAAGCTGTAATGCTATTACTAGTGTTACTTAAGATAAACTCAAATGTCATGACATATACCTTTTAAAATATAACAGCTACCACAATATGTATGCACACTAACTTCCTAAAGACTTTTAAGAATGCTCAATAATCTCCAAAATGTTTGATCTGTTTTCTGTATGTGCGTTCTTCATAAACACATCTTTTGTACAAGACATTAACATATGTAAAGAGTTTATAATGCAAGTGCTAATAGCATTACTGAATTAATTTGGATCCCATGCTCCCCAGGACTAAAATAACAATCAAACAGATTGCAGAAATGTTTGTGTAAAATTTTTGTTCAAATTACACAGTAGGGTTAAGTTTGTCAAGACATAAAAGCAAGTGCAAATCACATAAAAAAGGAACAATGCTATGCTATTTAAATAATAGCCAGTAAGTTGCAGTAACACGTCAATAGTAGATGTTGTTGTAATTTTACCTAATGATCTGCAGCTTACCACTTACTTGTGTCCATCATTTCCATAGAGAGAAGTAACTGACCCTTCGAACAGATGATAATTATTCTGATGGCGGGCTCACACTGAATGCTATGCATCTACAGCTTTGACATGCTGCAAAAAGTCACTCACACAGAATGCTTCAACCAGGCTAGCCCAGCTTCGGCTCTAGCTGCAAAAACAGCGATTAAGAGAAAAGAAATTCAAGTGGAGATCTAAAACAAAACTTGTTATCTGGTCATAAATACACATTTTCATCCTCAAATTGCGTTGTACTTCTGTTTTGCTGTTTTCCCAATTTTAATTAGTGTAGGTTGTAGGATTAATTGTATTCTGAAATAGAACAGAATTCTTTTCTGTGTGATGCCCAATGTTTCCTGGTTGACTTGAAACTGTTGTAATGTTGTAATGTATTGTATGTGGACATATACTGATAACAATACATAATAGAGAATAGAACTAAACTTAACAGACTGAAATACATGGCCCAGGTGTCATTGAAATAGATAGCTAGACCAAGAGGGACTACTTCAAGTATTTTTGGACTTTTAGATATTTTAAGTACACCATGTATTTAATAGCTAAAAAAAAATAGATTTTTTTATGATATGTATTCTTTAACGCTTTGAAGGGTGAAAACATCAATAAGAACACAAAGATGTGCATAAAGAGCCAAGAGCGAATGCAGACACCTGTGCCACCATCTTGCCAACTTTGGTGTACTGAATGATAATTGCAAGGCATGCATTTAAACATTTATAATGTAGAAAAAAACAAAACTGAAAAAATATAAAAACAGCAAAACTTGATATCAATGCATTACTCTTTCATTATTCATCATATAAAGTCACAAGTACATTTACACAACGCAAAAAATGTCCAAAGGGTTCAGGTGCTTTTGTAAGGTGCTGCATATATTATATTTCTTTTATTCCACTTTCTCAAAAACATTTTTTTTCTGTGTGTAAATATTTGAAACAATTCCTAAAACTAAGTTGGTGAATTTGGCCACAAAAACTTCCTCTTCCAAATGAAAACGCAAATAACCCTAATACAAAATTATGAGTCAACAGTCCTGTTTGACAACACAAGCTTCTCCTTACTCAAGTGCTTACAGCACTTATGATAATCTGCGATAATCTACCCTGTACTGACACACAAGCACATTATCTGTCTGAATGCTAAGTGCAGCTCATTCTGAACTTTAAAAAATGCTAACATATTCTGAGAGCTGAGAACAGCTCCCGTGGAACATGTTATCCTCTGTCAGGCCCAACACACACAGGAGCTGTTAGACACCTCACAATCTATGCAAAAAAATGAAAAGTGGATAAATAGCTTCCTCAGCTACACTTCTGCCTCATAGGTACAGAAAAGGAGTCGGTGTGTGAAAACTGACTAAGCAGCAACACTTAAAACTATATGCCCCTTTCACATCAGGTATATATTATCAACACAAAAGCCTGAGCAACCATGAACTTAGGAGTCTTTTTGTCCAGGGCTCTTTGGAATGGTATCATAGCTGCAACAATAACCTCCTGTGGGTAATTTAATGCCCCCATTGAGGTAACGCACTTTATTGCACCACTGGATTAAGTAATGATTATTTTGTGAAATTGCAGCCACACAATGGTCAATTAATCTTTAATGAAACTGTAACTTATGAGGCGGAGCGTGGCATTCCAGTAAGTAGGCAACTGCTTGCCAAAGCAGTTACAAGCCTCAGTTGTGGCCTACACTCCCTATCTATCACTTTATTAGAAAATAAGCACACATGAAAGAGACATAGTGTCACAACCGTAGTCTTTATCAGGTTTTTGGGCCTATATTGTATCCCTCAAAATATGGGAAGCAAAAAATATCTACTTATAAGCAATGTGACTATGTGCCATTTGTAGTTGTATTTATTCAAAGCAAGCTAGGCATCTGTATTGAAGAGAATTATTTGCACCAACAGAGCATGAAGTTGGAGGTTATCAAATAGCTGCAGAGCTGTTGCAATATGTACCTTTCATTTCATCATCTCCTCTTAAATGATGATAATTTTAACGTCATATACTCCAATATCTAGTGTTTCCACCTAACACATAACTGACTCATAAGCCAATAAACTCGCTTTATGGTCCAATCATTTTCAATTTTGTCACGTGTTATTGCAATAGCCTAGAAAGGCTTGCTTAGTCATAAAGATAAATGTTTTTATATCTGATGGCTTTCTCTTTTCTTTTGGAGCCTGTGGTCTCGTATTCTTTTGCTCATTTTGACAATGTGCTAACATATGTTGATGGATTTACTTTTATTACGTGACATCATTTCTGCATAGGAGCAAGGAAGGGAACCAAGGACTTACATTTTTCAATAACTGAATGCACATTCAGTATGAGAAAATGTTGGGAGTGAGCAGAACAGGTTGAAGAAACAGGAATGAAGAGAGTGATTGATGGAGTGAATGGGAGCCAAAGGATGATTGGGGGAGTCAGGGGGCACATGGATGTGTGTGGCAGGAGTAGTAGTGAGTGTAATGAAGTAAGACAGTAGAAGATGTGTACAAAGACAGAGTGAGAGGCAAAGAGAGGCACAAAGGAAGAGAATGGACAGAAACATAGAGAGAACAGGAGAGTGGAAAACAATAGATTGCTAGACTGATAGAGCTGAGCTGAATGTCAGAATCTCAAATGGTTGCGTCTACAATCTTTCAGCACTAAGAGACCAATATAAAAAAACATATTGTGTTGATATGGCTGGGGTATGAGACACAGTTAGACTGGGAAAAAAGGGGGGGTTGGGGGGCACTGAGGCAATCGGTGTTATTGTGCAGGCGGCCGCTGGCACCAGCACTGTCAGGGAGCAGCGTTGATCCGTGAACTTGCCATCTGGATTTTCCCACAAATCACATTAAAGTTTCAAGCCCAGGAATACATCAAGCTAAATGAATATTGGATCTAGACAAGCCTGATGGAGAAAAAGCCCTGGGCAACCGAACTCTTTTGTGGTCAGACATGATCTATCTATCCTCTTTACTTGCTTCATCCCTGCTTCCTTCTGTTCCCTTTATCACTGATGGACAGGGTTTGCTTATGAGGTGTGGGGAATAAAAGAGATTATGCAAAAACAGGTATACATTATAAGATGGCTTTTCATTTAGCAAAATCTAGGACTATGTTTGGGTAATTGCAAGAGGAAGAATTACTTTTTCGGGTAGCCTGTTATCTGTTTTCATAAAGCATCTTTAGATATGTGTTTCCTTAAATTTATTTTTTTTAAACCAACACAAAACATTTCTCCATGAAAAGCTAAAACATTCTTTCACAGGCTGTCATCATGATGATGACTGTTGAAGTGTTCTGTTTCAGATCCAAACCATTAAGGCTTTCATCTGTTTTTGAATTACCCACAGTTATGTTCAGCATTTGTTGTGAGTGAAAATAAGGAGGATTAATTGCTGCATGCAAATGCATAATTAGATACCATTTGACTCCTTGACAACACCCTGAAAATGATTCATGTGTACAATATGAAATTGTATGCCTACTTTCCCTTTAATTTTAGCCACATTAAGTTAACTTTGCATAAATGTATTCCGCCTTTCACCCAAAGGAAAAAAAATAAATGTGAGCATGAAGAATAACATAATTATTCATCATTCAATAACATGTTTTGACCTGGTTCCGGTTGCATATGTTTTGTGCTGAAGCACAGTTTGTGTTCAAGTAAAAGCTATTAAGAAAATATGGTCTTGCCAAGATGTCATTTCATATTAGAAGGAAAAATCTATTTAATAATTTTTCCAGTGCAGTGGCTTGTGGAGTCAGTGTTCTTTTTTTTTTTTTTACTCAAGAGAAAGCCTGCACTCTAAGAGGCCAAAGCTTTAGTTCTGTGAGATTCCCAAAGGGAGATATCGGTTGGGATGGATTTCTCAGAATTATAGTCTCTCGGTGATAGTGAAGAACCAGTTGAACTCTAAATCTCTTAAAAAGCTATATCACAAATGATGCTATATTTTCATTGTTTACATTTGCAATTCCTGTTAAATTGTTTTACTGGCATGTTTTGCAGCTTGCATTCAGTTGCACTTTGAATATAACTCAAAATATAGAAGGGTTGATGGAAATATTTAGAACTTATTTGTTTTTATTACAAAAGGGTGAGAAACTAATTTTAAATGAATTTGGTTTAAAAAGAATCAAAAACAGTATTTTTAATCATATCCCCCAGATAGAACAAAATTATATGTATCAAACTATTTTGGCTGTTTTTGCTTGTTTTCGATTTGCTTTATTTTTCTTAATTATTGATCTAATGTATTTGCCAATATAATTACTTTTTCTTGTCACATTCTCATGTTCCAAACTATAACTTTCTTCTGTTTCAGGCCTTCAGGTCATATTCCCAGAATACCTGCAGGAGAAATTTGTCCAGTCAGCTCTGAGCTACATCATGTGCAATGGAGAGGGGGAGTATGTGTGCCACAACAACCAATGCATCTGTCAGTGCGCTGACGATTATCCCCAGTGCAACTGTCCCATCACTGACATCCAGATCATGGAAAATACCCTACTGGTGATGTCTGAGTCCTGGGCAAGCTCTTATAAAGATTTTGAAAGCTCTGGTAAGCTGAAAACTCTATGAACATCTCTATGCTGCTCATTTTGTTTAATATAAGTAAATTAAACATTAATATGACTTGGACTGGTTCCTAGTAAAAACTGCTCACAGAAAATATACATTTTAATTCTTCCAAATAGAAAAATCAGCATCATTTAGACCAAAAGTCAGGGATTTGTCATTTGTCAGTTGTTTCAACATTGTATCTATTATATATAGATCTACAAGTTTAGAGAAAGGATGATCTGTACTGGACTTCATGCATACATTTCCTAATAATTCTATCAAGAGCTAAGATCTTTAATAGTATAAATTCACTCGCTTTGAAGACAGCTGCAGCTGTTGCCCTGCCTGGCTGTGTGGGCTGAGGCTAACTGATATTCCATCTGCTGCTTGTGCTCGACCTATTGTGATATTTGTTTGTATATAAAAATGCAAAGCTTTTGCAGCAATTCATTTATAAAATCGTTCAATAATAATACACAGTGATAATGACACTTTTTTTATTGGCTTTAGAGGTTTTATTGATTTTATAAAGCAACTGTTAGATATGCCAGACATGCCACCAGTGCCAAGGGAGTAGCCCGGATTCTCCAGGGACAAGCCTTATGTGCCAGTTCGCAGTCCATGCTAAGTTCTGCATACTGTTTCTGAAAGTATGACCGTAAGTGTCTCATCATCCATTATAACAAAAATGTGCACAAAAGGTTTTGCTGTATTCACATGCCATGTTATGGTTATCACAGTTATTACAGCTAAAGTCTGTCTCAGATGGCCTCAGCAGGACTTTCTGAGATACAAGTTAGCAGAGTAGGGAGTGTACTTGCCTATCTAACAACAATTATTACTGCCAAGCACCCTTCTAAACTTAGGAAACAATTCTGCTTTCTTCTGGCAATCTGTGACTGTGGCTGAAAGCATAAGTAATCTCTTAGTAATGTGCAACTTACTACAAGGAAATGCTTTATTTTGGCAAGGTGATACAGAAGTAATGTGGGAAAATTGTAATATTTTCTAAGTATAGATATTTCAAAATACATATAATGATATGATAATGAAACAAACTCTTTATATCTTCTGTGTATAATAGAACTACACAGAGCTGAGCTCAGCTTTATGAATGCGTTTGAAGCATGAATGTCACTCAAAGTGCTCAACAGTTCAAGTCACACCAACTGATAAATTCAAAAACAGGAAAATACAGCATGTGTTTATCAATAATTACAAATTTTGTTGGAGAGCAGCTTTATTAATACATAGATACTGGTTGGTACTTCTGATAAAGCTGTGAAAAAATCCTTTAAATGAATAAGTTTTACTGCAGTGGAAGAAACTAACACCTTTTTTTGTGAGTTAAGTGAGACACTTCTATGTAATAATTGGTTTTAAACATATTTACTGATACCATAAAGGAGTCCATTTAGAATAAATATATCTTGCATTGCTTTTTTTATGTTTACCAGAATGTGAAGGGACTTTGAATCCATAAAGTAGCATTTTTATTTTTTTGATAGAAATATTGTATGGCACAGGAGATCATTTCTCTTATTTGCTAGGTTGAATAAAGACCAATATTTGTCCTGCCAGGTACACATAATGGAAGGAGTGTCACGGGAGGTAAAAAACAAAACAAAACAAAAACACCTTTTTATTTTAGCAGCTTTCACAAAAAGGGGACAAAGTGTCTATAATAACTACTAAAAAAATTTTAACCCACCAACCAGTTGTTTGCTAGGTCTGCTAATAAAACTGAGTACTGCAATGTAGCGAAGCATCTTTGGCCCATTGCTAAGTATAGTGCATGTTTTGTGATGCCATGGGCTTGTTACTCTTCTAGATGCCCTGAAAATGTTAAGTTATTTTAATGACATCCCTTATTTGAAATGAAAATACATAAGAAAAACGTATCTGTTGCCCTCCAAAAACCCAGTAAAAAAACTAAGGTTTACGGCCAAACCAACACAGAGTCCCAAAACTTTAATCATATAGAAACCTTGATTATTTGGTTATGCAAAAACCCAGGATAGAGGATGATCTCACTGGGGTCACCAGTGTAATGACAAAAGGCACAAGGTAGCCCCCAGCAAAATTTTAACATTTTAAAACTTACCAATTAGCTGCATCCTTTTTAATTTTATTTTTTTTTGGTTGCTTAGTTTTTATCACAGTTGTATTTATATAGATTTCAAAATGGTAACAGTAAAAAAAAACAGTAACAAGTGTCTTATCAAAGAAGTTGAAATTATCTCCTAGTCTTCTAATTCAATGGTCAGTAACAATAGTCCATTGTATGACTTGGTACCCATGAAGCATCTAATCTGTAGAAACTGGGGAGGAATAGGCTCCTCCCTCTGTATGCTCCTACATTGTGTACGTCAGTGTCTGAACGTCTAGTGGATGAAAAAGTAGTGGACTGGAAATTTCCTACAATGCACCTTGAAGGCAGTGATCATCAATGGTCACTAAATAAGCAGATCTATCCCAGATTGCTTTGTGAGAGCTCTCCTCACAATGCATCATGGTAGTGGTGACTAATAACCAAGATGTCACAGGCACCGTGTGGGGAGGCAGAGTTATGTGACCAACGGGGAGAAAAAAAGTTGTGATATATAGTGATATATAGTGATTAAGGAATTTAGGGGTTAGGGCGGACGTTTGGACACAATAAGTGTAGTCCATTGACAATTCAGAACACTTGAACTTTTCAACCTTTTTGTCAAATTTTAGGCTTCAAACATAAATATATGAAATTGTAATTTTTTTGTGAAGAATCCAAAACATGTGGGACACAGCCATGAAGTGGAGAAAAATTTATTGGGTATTTTAAACTTTTTTACCAAACAAAAAATTGAAGAATAGGATGTGCAAAATTAATAATCTGCCCCTTTACTTTCAGTGGAGCAAAATCTCTCCAGGAGTAAAGAGAGGATCTCTGAATGATCCAAAATTGACCAAAATTACTGATAATGATAAATAGAATCCACCTGTTTGTAATCAAAGCTCCGTATAAATGCATGTACTCTGTGATCGTCTCAGAGGTCTGTTTAAAGTACTGAATTTTGCTCATTCTTCATGCAAAACAGACGGAGCTCAGTGAGGTTGGATAGAAAATGTTTGTGAACAGCAGTTTTTAGTTCTTTCCACAGATTCCTGACTGGATTCAGGTCTCCTTTGTGGCTTATGGAAAACTTTAAACAAAACTTTTTTATGGATATCTTTAAGAAATTACTTTCTTCCATAAAGGCCAGATTTGTTCAGTATACAACTTATTGTTGTTCTTTGGACAGAGTCTCCCTCCTCAGCTGTAGATCTCTGCAGTTTACCCAGTGTAATCATGGGCCTCTTGGCTGCATCTCTGATCAGTCTTCTTCTTGTTTGAGGTAAAAATATAATGTTCTTGCCAAAAATGACCTTAAAATGCGCTTTTATAGAACAACAGAAAATTGAACTTTTAACTTAATGCTCTGAGCGCTGTGAGCACTCCACTGAAGGCTGCTGCTGCAGTGCATGCTTGGACAACTGTTAATCTTGACAACGGACAAGTCTGCTCTGATGCATACTCGGTTAAGAAGGAGGGGCAGGAACAACATCTGGGGACTTTATCAGTTCTCAGTCTTTTGTTCTTGTGAATTGGAATGGTGCTGGGGCTGAGGCTGATGATGTTTCATGAGCACAAGAGAATGCACAAGTACACATATTGAGAAACAGCCCCTGTCTTAGACTATCACAGAGTAGGTGCATTTATACAGATACTTGATTACACACAGGTGGATTCTATTTATCATCATCAGTCATTTAGGTCAACATTGGATCATTCAGAGATCCTCACTGAACTTGTGGACAGTTTGCTGCATTAAAAGTAAAGGGGCTGATTCATTTTGCATGTCCCGCTCTTCAGTTTATTTATTTGTTAAAAATATAAATATCCAATAACTTCTGTTCCACTTCCTAATTGTGTCCCACTTGTTGATTATTCACAAAAAAATGACAATTTAATATATGTATGTTTGAAGCATGAAAATTGGCAAAAGGTGCAAAAGTTCAATTGAGCTGAATACTTTCACAAGGTACTGTATTAATAGCAGGATTACTACTAATAATAATAAAAACATGTTGTGAAGAAAAAAGTAATTTATTGAAATGTGTCTTGTTCTCTTGAGGATTATATTATTTTTAATTTGTCAGGGTCAGGGTGAATATTATTATTTTTTCTTTACATTTCTATCCTATTAGGCGTCATCTGACTGGTTTAAAAACTTGCAGTTAAAAAATTTCTAATGGTTCTGAGCCAAACATGATTAAAGTTAGTTTGCGGTAAACTTTGTGTGTTGTAATCTGCAGACATGGGGTGCTACAGTCTACATGGTGGTTCTTATCAGAACCACCATGTAGACTGTTTGGTTGCTTTTTGAAGAAATCTAATCCTTGAAATATTTGAAGCTCGAATAAAAGATGTGTCGCATTATTGAATTTCTACTGGAATACAACTGATAATAGAGCTTTTTTTCCTGTTAGAAAGAACTCTCAATGCTATGTGCTGCTGCTTGTCAGATTTTTCTAGGAAAGAATTAAAGACTATTTATGTCATCTATGAAGGCTAGGAAGAGGTCTGTGGTAGGTTCAAAACAGGGGAGGAGATGGATCCTGGCTCCTTTGAAGAAAAAAGGGAATTTGAGTTCTGACATGCCAGGAAGGAGGGAGGAGGAATCACTGACATTTTGCAGCTGTGGCTGAAAAGGAGTTCTTAACTCTGGTTAATACTGTTAAATGTCTTGAGAACAGCTGAAAAAGGGCATTGCCATGATTTGCAGGTGTGTTTCCTAAAAAATAGAATTTGCTATGAGTGTGCCAAAGTCCACTGCGGTCTGCTATGTGCTAAACATCAGTGTGTATATTTGTCTTTAAGTTTTATAGCTTTGCATCACAGGAATTGTAATAGCTCAATAATATGGCACCCCAGCTGTTCTTGCTCTGCTTTATTTCATTCATAAATTTTTGGGGGTATTGTTAAGTAGAACTCTACGATGTTAATGTCTTGATTTTCCAGTATTCTCAAGTACATTTATATGGACAAAAATCTGCTTCACTAAACTGTTCAATTTTTATTATTTCAGAATTGTATTACTTCTGTCAGCATTTTAAAGCACAGCATTGTGAAGTAGGTATTCAATTCCTTAATTATTTCATTTTGGAATTATACAAATTTAAATTCATTACGGAATTAAATTGTTCTTTTAGTTTTATTCACTAATATTGCAAAAACATTTTTAAGCTATTGCTGCTAAGGCACAAAGCTAGCTTTAAAAAAAAAAAAAACAATGGTCTCGGGGAGAACAAGGAAATAGTATCCCTGTCTATATGACAGAAACAAGATTCCCAATACTGGTTGAAATTAATGTTTGAGCAGTAATCTCAGTGCCTAAAGCTCTAAGAAAGGATAATTACTACTTTCAGTCTTATTTTCTGCACTTGGACAACAAAATTAATATTAAACATTTAAATATAACCTAAGTTTACGCTGGTGGGAACTTGAAAAAAAAATGAACAAGCTATTTTATTCAGTGGCTATACATACAGTGTTAAGAAATATTGTTTATTATTATTATTATTATTATTATTATTATTATTATTATTATTATTATTTTTATTATTATTATTATTATTATTATTATTTTATTCATTTATTTCTTGCAAATCTAAAAATTCCAATCCAGTAAACAGTTTCCCAGCCGGACCCAGAGTAAAGTGGTATCTGGCATGTTGGTTTTAAAAGTGGCATATTACCCTTATATGCTAGCTTTAGAAGTGGTATACCAGGAAAACTGAAATATATAATAAAATAAAATAAAACTGAGTATATGAAAAAAAAAAAGTATATGTGGTTCTAAAGTGTGTGTGTTTTTTAAACCCAAATGGTAGGTTAGTAGAGAACATGGGTTCATGAAACACAAAGACATTTTAAAAATTAATAACATGAACTCTCCTAGTGGTAAATTTTGACACAATACCTAGCTTATTTTATCATCCCAGTCCCTACACCTAAATACCATAGAAAACATGTGGGGTCACCTAAAGAATACAATAACTACAATATGACCAGTGACCTGGAACTTTCCTGAGAGATTAACTTTTGGAAGTGAACGGTTGTAAACCACTGCCTCTTATTGAAAAAGTAGAAATAATCTGTAAGAAGTAATAACAGTGCAGGTTCAAATGTTTGAATTAAAATGTGTGTTTTTTCTAAAGTTTTCTGTCATAGAATTTATCTTCACCTGGATTTAAAGTACTTTGGCATTTTATTTCCTGACTTTACCTTTTGTTCATACTTTTTGTCCATCCATGCTTTTGTAGATGAGTTCAAGTCGTTCCTGAAGAGACTCCCATCCACTCACTTTTTGCCCATCAGTAGTGTGCATCTCCTTTGGGGCAGCGACTGGGACCTGCAGGCACGTTACAGACTCCTTCAGAGTTCCCTGGAGATCCAACGGCTCAAGATCCAACGAACCGCCCGCAAGCTATTTAGCCTCAGCATCCGTTGTCTACACAATCCCAGCCACCACATGCCAAGAGAAAGGTAACTAATTATATGACATTCATGCTAAATTTCTATACCAAAGACCTAGTGTTCTTTTGTGTCTTATAAAAAAATAGATGCTGTATCTTCCTTAAAGATGGGGAATAAACATGCAAATTCTAATATAATTTTATTTTAAGGCTGTGGATTTGCTTTATATCAAGTTAATGTAGTACTGAGACTTGCACATGGACTAAAGTGCTGTAGCACACTCTTGTTATTTCACTTAGCAGTCTGAAAAGAAAATGTAGCTGTGGGAGTTTTCTTGTTAGGTCATTGCACACATCTGTCACCACGTACTGCAGCTGCAGCTTAAGAGCCTAGCTCTTGATGTGCCATAGTGTCAGCACTGCAGGAACTGCCAGGACTTTCCTCAATCTGCTCCCACAAATCAGAAAACACAATAAAAGGACACTTCAAAACTGGGGGTGCCACATCAAATGCCACCAAAAACGGTTCCCTGTTAGTAATGTCACAATGTAAATGGAAAAAGAATCTGTAAATTATTAATTGAAGTAGGATGAAAATCAGCCATTGTTTTCTGTCCCTGACAGAAAGGATCACACCCACATTTATGTGTGAGAGAGTTGGCATGGGGTCTGTTCTGAAGTGTTATCAAAGAACTGCAGTATGTGCTTCCTCTTCCATGGAGTAAACATTGAGAGTGCCTGATGGCACAGGAAATAAGAGCAGCTTGTTTATTTGTTTGCCTACGTGAAGCAGCTTTGCATCAGATGGCAGAGTTTTTTGATTTCATCACATATATTTAAGGTCTCAGTTTAAGGAGGGGAGTCGCTGTCGTGCACAATGTGATTTTCCCTCAACCTCAAACTCCCTGTGTTTATTTATCATTGTTTATTTTGGATAAAAGATGTTTAAACATTTATGATTTTGTTTCAAAGATGCAAAGCTAAATGCTGTGTAAGGGCTTTTACTTCTCTTTACCTACTTTGTGAGTCTAGCCTGGCAGTCAGTCTTACTGAAATAAAGTGTTCTCCTAATAAAGACTTCAATCTTACCTCTGCAGACTTTAACAGGTAGCCAAAATGAGTAAATGTGACCTAAGCTGACTGAGTACATATCAGCAGAGTAAACAGTGCCATGTAAATGTATTTACATCCCTTAAACTTTTTATAGTTTGTCATTTATCGGCCATGCATTTTAGTGTGTTTGTGCAGTACATAACAAGAATGTTTATAAACTGAAATGTGAAGTTCAAGGAAATTGTATTAAGTGTCTCTAAAAACAGTTAAAGGCCCAAAACTCATTATTATAAATAATATAAATAAAAGGTGCTGCTTTTATCTGTAGCAGTGCATCTCCTAATGTTATTTAACAGACACCTAACTGAACTTCTGTAGAAAGTTTGCTGTGAAAAAGGTGAAGTAAAAAAAAAAAAAGCTATTAAATCACAGCAAAAAGGGACTTAGAGAAAAACTTATATGATCACTGAGAAACACTGAGAGAGAATGACAGGGACAAAAAAAACAACATAGAAGTCTATAGTTTTTAAGGTGCTGATGATGATTAGACTACTGAATCTAGATGACAAAAAAAGATCATTTTAAAACAATGTATTGGGATTGCTGGGAAATTTCAAGACTGAATGTAGGAAGGAAGAGAAGAGGTTGTCCTATGCAAGTGAAGGACACGTGTAAATGGCTCCCTTTGTACAGGCTTTAAAGCCACTCAAAGAGGAAGAAGTCATTACTGCAACAATGACTTGAAATAGCCACAATAAATTATTTATTTTTTTGCTTCAGGAACAATTATTGACCTTACAGACATGCACTTAAATAACAAATGTATGACTATACTGACACAATATCTGCCATGAAGTAGAATTGGTCATCCAACTGGATGATGCCCCAATACGACTGCTGAATCAGCTGGCCTCAGAAGCAAAGGATTTGCTTCCTACCTATGGCCTAACGTTGCATGAAAGCTGAATTGTTGTTAAAATTCTGCATTCAGAAATACATCAGAATCCATCTTGTCCCAGTCCCGCCATTACAGTTTAAGAGCCGACTCAGTAGGCATTGGCCATTCATGTTGCGTTATTATTGTTTAAGGCTGGATATACAGCTGTGATGAAAACTAGTGTTGCTCAGACCAAAATAAACATGGCACCTGTTACCAAATCTGTTTTTCTTTCTTTTTAGAATCCCTGATTTTATATTTGACGATAGAACAGGAAAATAAGTGATTATTATTTATTTATTTTTTTTTATGTTTAAATGCCAAAGATATTTGGGACTTTTTACTTATTTATTGGATTAGACAGAACTTTGGTGGTCAAGCACTATATGTCACTTTGCCCAGCTTGAAAAGTTGTTGAATGTCCTTTCCTTCTCTGAACTAATTTTATGAGAGCAGGTCAAGATTAATAGTGTGTAAAACTAAACTGAGAGTTTAATTTTACACAATATCTATCTGGCTTGCTTTTTTACCTATGTAAATCTCAGTTTTTAGCTAAATCTAGGACCAGAGCTCTGTTCAGATACAAAGGCTTGAAAAAGTAATGCAATTACAACTATTCTGTCAGGAGATATGTGCCCAAACTGCAGAGAACTATTGTAAGACATTTCTAAGAATTTCCATAAAACATATGAAGCAAGTCATAGGCTTGAAAATTTCTTCAGATCTCTTTGAGGATAGTAGTTGATTAAAAAGAGGCTTGGTAATTTTAACTGACCTGGTTTGAGCTGAATGCTGTAAGTATTAACACACCTTAGGTAGTCCTACAGCACCTCTAAAATGTGCATGTATCAATGCAGATATCGAAAAATATTTATTGGAAAAAATCTGAAACAGTTGACATTTGAATGAAAACCAAATAGATTATTAACTTATTCAAAGTCTCCCAGTTTTACATCTAACCTGCAACAAGACTAGTGCTGAACAATATTTCCAAAATCAAGGTTGCAGTTTTTTTCAACCAAATTTGAGATTGCAATTTTATTTTATTTTTTTATTTCAAACCAAAAGCACGTTGATGTTTTATTCCAGGGTTTCCAAAATAGCTAAAAAAAGATCCACAGGATTTTGTTTTTCAGCTGTTTTGGAATGACTATGACCTGGATGAATGAGAATCTTCACCAGCATATTCCAGGGTTTTGACGTTTTCATGAAACTAATAGCTTCCTTCTACATAGGCCACTGTCACAGAAATGTTCCCTTACTGTTGTGTGCAAAATACTTATTTGTACTTTAATGATTAGATCTGTGTGCCAATAGCAACTTTCTCCTTTCTTCTGTGTGACAGCAAACCTATAGCATATTACCGCCACCTAAAGGGAAATGAATTACCCTGCCCAAATGAGGACATTACCAAAGTAATTCCATATTGCATCATATTACATGTTTTGTACTTCTCTACTAAAAGTCTTTCAAAGCATTAAATAAAGAATCCCCAGTGCTGTGTTTAATTTAGTGTTACACCAACACTAAATTAGTTTGAAACACTACCTGCCTGGTCAATATGAACAACAAATGTGGGATATAGTCGGCTTCCTCAGGGAAACCATGTGAAATGGAAAGGTTTAAATATGTTCTGCCCTAAATTATTGTTAACTTGAACATCAATTCTACACATGGCAGCAGAATTTAACCCACCATAAGTTGTGATTGTCTAGTTTGAAAATATTTAACACACAAAGGATAATAAAGCTATTTCTTCATAGGCAGTCTTAGATTTTACAGTAGGTGTATGTGTTGCAATTTGCTATAAGAAGGGAAAGGAGAAAAAGAAAAAAAAAACTGATGCTGTGTTGTCTTGGTAACATACTTATCTGTATTTTAGTTCTTTGGGCATTTTGAATTAAACAAACAAACAGCATATTCATTCCTCAGTTAAAAATAGAAGTCCTGTAATATGTAGCTGGCCACAATTACGCCTCAAGAAGCAGGTTATATTTAATTTCCTTATTTAAAAATGTATTCATACCAAGGGGCCAAAAAATTACTCCAACCCCACACAGCTTTCAGTTTAATTACAAAATCTAACATAATAAAACAGCTTCTTTGTTTTACTTATTTAAGCACAATTAAATGGAGCGTTTAGCTAAAGTAATCCAAAAAAAGATTTACAGTTCTAAATTTCAACAGTTTATTTTCCCAATCAGTAAAATATATCTACTTAGTAAATATATTTCAACTTGAATAAGTAAGTACTGGATAGTTAGGTTGCTATAATTAAAGCTACATATAGCAAGTTTATCATTGTTCTGGGCTTATACCACTATGCTTTCATATATTACAAGGATAATAAATTCTCATTGAGAACACTCACAGTGGAACCCTAAATAGATTTGCTAGTGCATTTCCTTTATTAGTTGAATAGCTTACCTCAGGTACAATGAACTTAGAAATCTTCATGCAAATGATTAATAGTGACAGATATGGAGTTGTATCATTCCCAGCCAAGTCATTTGCATCCAGTTTATATGCTCACTTAAATTATTCATATACAGAGTCAAACTATTTTAATATAAGATGAGCTCATCTACCATACAACAAAATAGCCATATTTTAAATTTAGCATTACACACTTCTTAAGTTATTTGTTACTGGGTGTTAAAGAAATATATCCTTGCTATTTTGCTATAACCTTAACAAATATCTTAATATTATTACATAATAAAGTCAAAAAAAATAACCAGAAGAAAATAAAACTTGCATATTGTTCTGAACAAAGTTTTCTGATTTAATGTCGTTTGATTCATTTTTTACAATAATTGCACATTTTAAATGCTTTATTAAGCAATTTTTTAAGTTTGTGCAAGTTTCATGTTTACAGTGCGGATCTTTATGTTTCCAAAATGTCACAGTTTTTCCTGGCATACTGGAAATCAAGATTGTGTGAATATTCCCGATTAACAGTGACCCCACCTACCTAATCTATACTTGAGGGTCAATTAGTCTTTTTTTTGCCTCCTGCCCTCTGATTTTTGATGATTGAAAACAGTTTATTGATGGGAAAACATCAGGCAAACTTACTGACCATTAATGCCAAACTTAATTTTTACAAACTCTGGGTTACTATCTTTACATTCTTGTATTGTGACGTGGGGCTCTATCATGCTGGAAGACGCAAATAATGTTTTACTCTCGTCCAGAAGTCCCACTCACATTTGTTTGCAATATTTGGCCTGCTCATAATGCACACTTCCAAGTAATTATAAGTAAGTTCACTAAGAGGAACTTTCTGAGAGGTGAGCCCATAGGTGAGCAGCTGCCATTCTGTAAACCCTAAGCAATTTCTCTGATCTGAGCAAGATTACAATTTCTATCAGAATCTGTTGTCATGTCTCCTGGTTATTTTATATATATAAGTTATGTGCTATTTAAAGAATTTGTCCCAATTGATCTCTTTTCAGGGAAAAGAACCGATGAGATAGGGCGTCAAAGGGCATACACAGAGGCTATCTTTAACACATGTAAACTATCCTTGACCAGCCTTCTTTGCTAGAGAAAAGAAATATGAATCATGTGCTATGGTTAAAAAAGAAGTTGCAGAAATATCAAAATTACAAGGGTAGATGACTGGAGGGAAAGAAAAGACAAGATAAGAATAGCAATTAATGCTTCCTTCATAGGAAAAGTCTTTTCCCTTCGGGGCAATCATATTTTTCATTCCCAAACTCTATGCTGAATGTTATATTTACAAAAGTCCGTCCCAAAAAAAAAAGAAAAAAAAAAAAGACAAACATTGTTTATCTGATTGAAATTCTTTGTTAATTTTCTTTTTGGTCCTTCTGTCTCCAGGTCTGTGATGCAGTGGCTCAACAGGGTTCAATCCTTCCTGTACTGCAATGAGAATGGGTTCTGGGGTACCTTCCTGGAGAGCCAAAAGGCATGTGTGTGCCACACAGGTGCAACTCTGTGCCAGCGACCAATCCCATGTGTCATAGGTGGCAACAACAGCTGTGCCATGTGCAGCCTGGCCAACATCTCACAATGTGGCTCCTGTAACAAGGGCTACAAGCTGTACCGTGGCCGCTGTGAGCCCCAGAATGTGGACTCTGAACGTAGTGAGCAGTTCATAAGTTTTGAAACTGACCTTGATTTTCAGGACCTGGAACTAAAATACCTGCTGCAAAAAATGGATTCAAGGTTGTACATACATACCACTTTCATCAGCAACGAGATCCGGCTGGAGACATTCTTTGACCCAAGATGGCGCAAGCGCATGTCCCTGACTCTTAAAAGTAACAAAAATCGAATGGACTACCTCCACATGATCATCGGTTTGTCAATGAAAATCTGTCAGATGCGAAATAGCAGTATTGATCCCATGTTTTTTGTGTATGTCAACCCTTTCAGCGGCAGCCACTCAGAAGGCTGGAGCATGCCCTTTGGCGAACATGGTTATCCACGATGGGAAAAAACACGACTGCAGAACTCACAGTGCTTCAACTGGACTCTTCTTCTGGGTAACAGATGGAAGACCTTCTTTGAAACAGTGCACATTTACCTGCGCAGCCGTGCTAAGGTTCCGACTGGCCTCCGGAATGATACAGGACAGGGTCCAGTGGATCTGGCAGACCCAAACAAGCGACAGATCTACATTAAGATTTCAGATATCCAGGTTTTTGGTTATAGTCTGCGGTTTAATGCTGACCTGTTGCGCAGCGCCGTGCAGCAGGTTAACCAGTCATATACACAAGGAGCTCAGTTCTACTCATCCTCGTCTGTGATGCTACTGCTGTTGGACATTAGGGATCGGATTAACCGCTTAGCACCCCCTACTTCACCTGGCAAACCACAACTGGACCTCTTCTCTTGTATGCTGAAACATAGGCTGAAGCTAAACAACAGCGAGATGATACGAGTAAACCATGCCTTGGACATGTACAGTACAGAGATACTCAAACAATCGGACCACCTGACTACAAAACTATGTTGAGCATAACATTAATATAAGAACAGTAATCAACAGAGAAACAACAAACTAATTAACTATGAGGGAATGTTAGTCATATTTTTGTTCGCTTTTCTTTTTTGACCTTTTCTGCCTTTTGATGTATTATTAACTTTGTAAGTATAATTCTTAAAAAACAAGAAAAGGGTAAAGATGAAAAGCTTTTCTGGCAGATAAAAAAGATCAATTGAAACTCTATATGGACTGTATCATATTTGTCCCAGCATGTCTGTAATTTCCTTAAAGAACCTTGAAAGGAACAAGTGGAAAAAAGAAAACATCGAATCTATGTACTGGAGGAAAAGGAGGCCTTGATTTTAACATAAGGGATCAAAGATTGCATCTGAAACTGCCATTCTTTCTTCAGAAAAAAAATCTGACATTTTTAAAGGTACAAAAAAACACAAGGGCAGACCAGACATCGGTTTATTTCACTGGATGGGGAAAGTATTTCAAACATACCAGACAGTTTAGAATAAAATATTTATACATTCTAATTAATTAAATGCTCTAGTGAATAAGTAGTCATTACATTTTTTACATTTAAGAGCCAACAGGAAATCAGCATTGCTTTTAGAAAGGTATTTAAAACTGTCCTTGTTCTGAAATATGAGGCACATGACAGGGCAGTAATGAAGAGTCATGATAAAAACAAAAGCCAGCTGTTTATATATACATACGTGTGATTGAATGTGTGTGAATGTGTCTGTAAACATCTTTTTTGCATTAATGCTTAACACTTTGTTAATTGAATGTGTCATATGAGATTGACCCCTCGTCTCTGTTCTATCTTGCATTTTGAATGCTCCCCCTCATTCCCTTATGAAACGCCAGCTTTTTGCTTGTTTTTTATTTTTTTGGTTTTCAAAAAAAAAAAAACAGTACAGTATACCTCCCGGCGAGTGAACGCAATATTGTGGTCTGAAGATTATAACAATCAATGCTATTTTGTACAGCTTTGCAAAATGTACATGAGACTGCTGATCTGTGGAGCTTTTCAGCACTGAGAGCAAAACGTAAACATTCATCATTCAGGCACATTTGCAAGACAACCGAAAGCCATACACTTTCCTGAGGTAGACATACAGTATGTCATGAAGCTCACTCTGTACCTGTTCCATGTGTATGTTTTTGTTCAACAACTTCAAGTGATTTCAGACAAGAGCACAGCAAAAAGAAAAATGGCGAGTGGAGACATAACATGTTGAGTGAAATTGTGTTGTTAAAGCCATTTAACTTGTATTTTGTGCTGCAGGAAAAATAATAAGAAAAAAATCTTATATTAAAGCTTATAATACCTTTTGAAAGTGTTACTCTGTAAGCTTTTTATGACCATGTGTAAAAAATTCTCTTTATGTTTTAAGCTATGAAGTTCAACATTTTCTGCATGTTGCTGGCAGTATAAAAAGAGCTGTGACTGTGTTTTAACTCAGTCTTTAACATAAAGCACTACCTATGTATTAATGGTCAGATTTCATTTTAATAATTCAATGCTGAAACGCCTATAATGTGGTTGATATTTGCAGGTGGGCCCCTCTACTGAATGCTCACTACAAAAACAAGCTTAGTGTGTTATTCTGTTGTGTTTTTATTTTATTTTTTTATTTTTTGAGCATCACACAAAAAATAAAGACACTAAACAACGTTGTCCCCTTAAACACAAATTAGAAGCCCTTTTTGAGTAAAATGTACCAGCCCTGAAATTGTTCTCATATATTTGAAAACCACAATTTTTCCAGTAAATCCTATATGTAAGTTTTTTGTTGTGTTGTTATTAATTTCATGTCTAGTAATCTCATGATGTGTATTTTTTGTGATGTATTTCCTTGTCCTCTTCATCAAAAACTGCTCTTGTCTTTGTGAAACAAGTCTTGATAAAAAAAAAAAAAAAGATTCAAGACAGATGTGCAAACCCCCTTGTGTTGTGAAGGACTCAATGCAAACAACATTAAAAATTGGAATTCCAAAACATTTGATAAAATAGGTTTTGGGAATTCCAATTTTAACTGATTTTAATACATTAAACAAACAAACCACAGCCTTTTCTTGATTTATCTAGATTTTTCTTCTAGAATGAATCAAAGGCAATCATCTCTGGCTTGGCGTCATTGTGATTTTCCTAATTATCTTTTTGTTTTTGTTACTGTTACACCCGCCATGTGTCTATGTTAAAGCACTTTTACTTCTTAAGTGATCTTAGTAAGAAGGTACTTGCTTATTTGGTAATTGTTGAGCAACAAATTGAAACTAAAATCCGGTTTTGGGTTAAAATGTGCAATATGATTTAAGAAAACTGTTAAATATAAATTTACATTGGAAACCTAATCAGGATCCCATTCAGAAAGCTGTTAGCAACAGTGTTAGGATGGAGTTCTAAAATATAGGTTATTATTGGCTATTTTTGGACTCTTTCCTTATTTTGTTTGCAAGTCAATCCAAATACAAGCACTGTGTCTCAATTAACATACTTCCATGTTACACTTTCTTACTTGTGCCCATTAGTGAATTTCCACTAAAAGAAGCAGTCTGGCAGTGTGTCCTGATAAAGTCACTGGAGCATGAATAGTTTCATATAATCACCACTGATTGTCATTTACTTGGTTATAAAAGAACAGGCATAACAAAGCTGCTGCAATAGTTGCCATTAATTGAAAGTACACGTGTTGTAGTATTACTTGAAACTCATGCATGTTAAGCTATTGTCTTCATTGTAGTTTTAATGTAGGTGTATGGTCAAAGGTTTAACATGTCTGCAAAATGCTGTAACCAGTGTGACAATCATGGTCAACATTGCATTTTGCTTTTATCCCCAAGTCATAAAAGGAACTCATTTAAGAAGCTACCTTGACAAATTGCACTCACAATGTAAAGATATGAAACGTGTAGATGATTTATTCCTACAAAAATTTAAACATTGAGACACAGTAAAAAGTCAAACTTGTTCACTAATTGGCCACGGAAGTGCATGCCATATTTATTCAGTGTCAGTAATGGACTATCCAAATGAACTGTTACTTTATTATTATTATTATGATTAAGTGCCTGTTATCAATCCCTTTAAATATGTTTAAAGCTGGAAAAATGACGTTTTACAAAAGGAATAACACTTATTTAGTTTAATTATTTAGGATCATTAATGTAGATCAAATATATTGTTTTTTCTGTCCTACAAAAGACAACACCATAAAAAGAGGCTTGTGCATGAGGAGGTGACTAACCACCAGACAGAGACAACAGATAACTCAAAATGATGGTGGATATTTCTGTCCTCTGTTGTACAATATATTTGTAAATAGAATCTCTATTACAGTAATAATGCTGTGCTACAGTAACACTATCATAAAAGATCAATGCTGAAAGGAAATACAAAGATTATTTCAAAAAATGCCCTCCAAGTACATTAGCACAAACTATGGGGCACCAATGTGTTATATACCTGATTAGACTCATGACCACCTATGACTGTTTTATATGATAAACATACTGTATACTGCAATTTAGTTTAAGCCACTTGCAAGGTCCATAAGACAAGCACATTTACTTGTATGGCATTTTGCTACAAAAGTGTTGCTTTCTGTACATGTATCCATAAATATGTCTGAGCATTTTTACACCTAATAACTTGCTTATGTATGATTTTTTTTTTCTTTTTTTGGGATTATTATTATACCATCTAATTTTAAATGAATGTTTCATATAATAATCTATTTCTCATTAAAATGTTATATTTAATAAGAAGTGAAATGCTTGTTTGTAGATCTTCTTTTTGGTATTTAGTATACAAAGCATTACATTAATTACAGCCAAACCTATACAGCTAATATAAAAAAAAAATAATAATACTTTTATTATTGTCGGTATAAACAAAATGCATCCTCTTGGCCACAACTGATCTCTTTGTTAAATGATTAACATTTATTTTATTTTATATATTTGTTTATTTATTAAGTCTATGGACAACTAGTTATTGTTTGTTTGAGAGAACATTTAGCTTTTTTTTTTCCTTTTCCCAAAATTCAGAAATCAGGTTTATGTTATTTATACAATAGAGATACATTTAGTACTTTTATTTTCCTGCATGCATATAAAAAGCAGTTTATAAGTCCATCTCATTTTTGAACACATTTGAACATTTTTGAAATCAGTACATTACAGGTTTGAACACACGGTAGTAAATATTTTACAATCTGTTGCATGCTTTACTTCTGTCAATGCAAATCTTCAAGCATATGACTTTGAGGCAAAAATAATTACACTGACTTTTACAGCTATGCATATTACAGTATGATTCAGATCCTTTCCATTTAAAAAGTTTGTGTTTTTGTGGATTTCTGCACTGAAATTGTGCAGATACAGTGCTTGAAGGAATGCAACAGCAGTTCAGGACGAAGATGGTTCTTTGCTGTATTGTGTTTCTCATTCTCCTCAATTTTTACTGGATCACCTGCAGCAGCAAGGGAATTTGAAACCTGATGCAAAGGGCTTTCATCTATTGATGTTTATTTTTGTATTTAGGCTTGCTTATATTTGATGCAATCCGCTTTGTGTATGTCATGCAAAAAAAGCATAAAGAGTAATGAACGGCAAACATTGGCATGTACATTTTAATAGATAATGCCACTGCAGTCAAAGGTATTTGTGAGGAGGGAAGAAGTTCAGGTTAGGTCTCCATGAGCAGGATAAAACAAAGCTATGTTATTGTACTGTAGACGAGGGAACTGAACCTTTGTACTGCAACAACCCCATCTTACATTTTTTTTTCTTATTTTTGTTAGTAAAGACCACATTTGCATAAATTTTGCATCAAAGCTTTACTTCAGTAAATCACAGCATGAGTGTGTGTTTTTGTTTTATCAGCCTTTAGAAAAAAAAATACAAATATACACATAAAAAAACTTTGAAAAAGATGATTGAAATTTTTTTTAGTATATTTCTCTGGTGTTTTTAATAGAAATCAAATTCGATATTTTGCAATATTTCCCCATTTGAATTACCCATCTATAACTTATCCGTGCCACATTTGGACCGAGCTTGGATCAGTTAACTGTGAATGCATGGTTCCTTACGACCGTTTAAACATCACGCTAGCATGGTGCCTCGCCTCCAAGTGATGAACTACTGCTATGGTTGAAGGGGAGGATCAACCAAATCAAAATAGGGCATCCGTAACATTAGGATGTTATGTTTTGTTATAATTGTGATATTTCATTGTCTTTTTTAGAGTCAGGCGAAAAAAGCAGCCTTTGGTCGCACCATGCTCTTTTGACACTATTTTATAAAATGTAGTGTTGAGAAGATTTCAATTGTTGTATACAGTTCTTCTTCATCTTCCGTTTTATGGCATTTGGCAAGAAACTTACTGATGTACATTACCGGCAACTACTGGAAGCTGACTTTAAGGAGATCTGCTGATGCGCTCTTTGTTATCAGAGAACCGAGCCACAACTGAACTGGCCGAGCCCTACTGTTGAACTAGTACTAGATTTAGACTTAGATTAATTTGGTCATTTTGTATACACACGTGTAAACAAAAAGAAATTTCGTTTAGAACAGCTCTCTAGACAATTTCCTTTTTTAAAGGGCAGCATTGATAAGGTAAGCAGCAGTTTTTGTTGAGCTGCTACTACTGCCTCCAGCTCCTGAAGCACTGATTTCTCCTGGCTCAGGGGAGGAAGAGGACGTTGATGATGATGCTGTGAGGGTGGTAGCCCCCTGGGTTGAAGAGGCTGGCCTGGTTGAAGCAGCATTGGTTCCATTGGCAGGTTTAGCAGCGACAGACAATGCTGGAATCTAGTCGATGCTAGATTTAGTGTGGTTTGGTTGTGTTTGGTTCCAGTACACTCAACAGTGATCTTAGTTACCATGCTCGAAATGCTCTCGGCACGGTTTTAAAAGGGTAGTGTAAATGGGGCATATGTATTATTAAATCTGCACTTGCAAGTCCCAAAATTATGACCAATTTTAATAGATAGTAAAGTTTGTCATATCTTTAAAGTTGGTGTTACTTTGTTCTTTCTTTCTAATCAGCTATGATAGTATGTTAAATTTAACAAGACTGGCAGATGTATTGTTGTTTTACAGGAACAGTGTACATTTAATTTCACTCTTTTTTTGCAAAAAAATAAACATTGCTTTCATAACTAAATATTCCGCCAAAGTCTAATAACAATCACAACAAAAATGAAAGTGTTCTCATAGCTTAGAATAAATTGTTTATAAAAAAAAACAAAAACAAAGGTGGTGGTACTACCAATTGAAGTCTCCATGTTGCATTGCCATCTTTGATAACAGTAGCATAAAGGGAAAAAACTTGTTACTGGTGTTTTTTTATCCATTTAAGAAGATGTGTTGATGATCGAGAAGTAGGCAGAAAGGATTGGAGATCATTCTACTTGCTGTTTTCAGTTTAAATAGTGGACCAACCCTACTCTTTCCCAGTGAAACCAAGAAAAGAACCAATAACCAGTAGAAGATGAGAGTCTACATCTGCATAGCTTTTAAAAGGTGGAGACAAATAATGAGGAAGTGGGGCTATAAAACAAGGAAGTTGCAGACTTTCTTGACAGGTAAGTAAATAAACAATGAATGTTTTTTTTTTAGCATTATGTAAGAAACACGGTAGTCAAGTACAGTTATCAGTTGCTATTATTTTCTGCCAAAGTCACATCAGGAGGCAACCTCAGCTCCTAGCAGGGGCTTGGAGCAAAATACATTGAAGTAGTTGTAATTTATTTATGAAATTTTATGACCCATTTATGACACTCAGTGGGTTCCATAGTGGTCCTGTGCCTAATGGAGACGGACCATAGCACATTTTTGTCCATTTGTAATTCATGTAGTGCACCACTAGATAGCACTCCAGTAAAATGGAATATCAGTAAAGATAAAAAGCCATTTTTGTTGTGATCCTTAGGGTTGGGTTTTAGGGTTTTCTTTTATCCAAGTTGTTATTCTTGTTTATCCCATCGTTTATTAGCTTCTTAGTTCATTTCAATGTTCTTTGTACTTTTAAATTTCTTCCTGTTGTATTCCCTGGCTTTCTTTGTATCTTTCCTCATTTTCATTTCTAAGTAATTCCTCTTCTCGCCTCAACTCCCTCTGCCTTCATCAGCATCAGGTGTTCCAACTCTTCTCTTGATTGCTAAAATCTGTATCACAATTTCTTCTCTGCATTGAAGCTCTTTGGTTGTAATTTCTGCTGGATGCTCAGAATCAGAAATAGCTTTTTTGCCAAGTAATGCTTTACACGAGGCAAGAATTTGTTTCTACTGTATGATGATGTGTTAAACGTAGACAACAAAATATACAATTCACATAGATACTTCAATCTGAAAAACTCAAATGAAGAGAAAAGACAATTAGAAGAAATGTATTGATAGAATTACTTGTCTTTGGTGCTCAGACCTCGGCAGGAAATATAGCGCTTAATTTTGATAGATATGGATGAACAGAAGTAAAGCATAGGGGATGCTTCCCCCCAGGCCTGAAACTGGTGGTGGAAGTTGGTCAGTCTGTAGACTCTGGTTAGACCTTGGTTAGCGAGACAGTATGCTGAGCTTTGGGGGAGATCCAATGCACTGCATGAGCTGGCACCAGACCTTCAATCAGGCACCTGGAAGATGGAAGTCCAGTTTGGATAACACAGGTTGAGAGAACCTGTCCATGATGAGAAAGTATGGCGTGACAGTGGAGAGCAAAAACTCCCCATTGGGAAGAAACCTCTGGCAGAACCAGGCTCAACATGGTGGTCTTCTGTCGTACTGGTTGAAATGAGACGTGAAATGCAGTAAGAGTCCAGGAGTTATGAAATTGATGTAATTTTCGCCACGATGGTGGAGGAGGGGCTGGAGGTGGCTTGAAACAGGGTCATCTGAATGAAGTCATACAGCGTACCCAGTTACCGCACACCAGGAAGCAGACAAGTTGCGGATCGGGGGCCTTTTAAGATGGATGCCAATTGGCTTTCGTGGAGGTGTGGTTCAAAGCTGATTGGCTGTGTTGCAGGTGGATGTAGGAGAGCAATCAGTTTCTTTATTTAAACTTTCGCCTAGGCTCCATTTCAATCTGAAAAAAACCAAAAAAAAAAAAAAAAAAAAAAAAAAAAATGAAAAAAATAACAAGGCCTTGGGGCCCAAAACCCCGCAAAAAACATAGCACTTAATTTTGATTGATATGTATGAACAGGAGTAAAGAATAGGGCTGTATCTCCCCCAAAAATTTGCCGAGGTTAAGGCCGATACGACAGCATGCGCAGAAGGCAGAGACTGAATTGAAAGCTAAGAAATGTAGAAAAGCAGGAGCAGTACCAGAGGAGATGAGCCACGAATGCTTACTAAAAGACCAGCGCCACAAAGGCTTGTCAAAAGAGGGCCAGGGCCAGTTGTCACAAAAGTTTGTGAAGGGATGGGATGAGGTAAGGTGAAGTGAGGCGAGGTGAATGGTGCTGGGATAAATGAGGGGATGATTCCTGGGATAAATGAGGGAATGATTGCTGGAGTGAATGAGGGGATGATTGCTGGGATGAATAAGGGAATGAATGATAGGATAAATGATAGAAGGAAGCCAAGCATGACGAATTATAGAGTAAGATGAGTGATGAGAATGGGTCATAAAACACAACTGAAAAAATCAAACATTTAGATATGAAAAAGGTGGCTTGTGCCCTTCAGGTTGGAGGAGAGTCCCTGCCTCAAGTGGAGGA